GTTTTTTTTTCTACATATATCGAATCTAATACATTTTGTCTTCAATGGATATATCCATGGCAGATGATGAAATTTCATTTTGACAATCTTCATGGTTTTTATGACAATATTTTCTGTACATCTCCTAAAGCCCTTATTGCGGTTGCCTTCATTTCTTGACCCCAGGAACTAACATTAAAACTTTCCATTTTATGTTGCGGATCTAAAATTAACGACGAATATGTCTAATTTGTTTAGGAATAATGTTTTAACATTTTATCACGTCCTGCTTGAAAGGCAATTATTAACATTTCATCTACTTCATTCCGATCTATTTTAGCATTTAATTCAAACATTAGTTTCTCAATATTATCAATCAGCATGTTAAATGCAACAACAACCACAGGTATAGTAACATATTTATCGCCTCCTAAAACTGTTAATACTGTTTTATACTACTTTAAAAATTTATTGCATTTTTCCAATAATTCCCACTTATCATCATTAATTTTTAATTCGTAAAAACATTCATTATTGTCACAAAGGATATTCAATGCATTTTTTAAATGTAAACCGATTTTGAGCATATCGTGCGTACTATTCCAACGCGTTGAGACATCTAGGCTTGGCGATAAATATTTTACATTTGTGGTTTCGCAACAATTTTGCAATTTTTTTGACCATTGTTCTGACAATCGTATTTTCTTAAATAATTTTCGAAGTTTTGATACGCTTGACAAATTTGCATGTATTGGCCGTTCCTCTTCTTCTTCACCATCTTCGTCATCGTGATCATCGACATCATCATCGACAAATATTTGAGGTTCCAATCGTAACAACTTAAGAGTATCTTGTACGCCGAGATTAATAATGTGGGCAAAACAACGGAAATGTTGTTCTTTTGCATTAAATTCAATTCCACAATTATCCATCAGAATTTTTAGTTCTTCTATAAACGTGATATTTGCTGCAGCGTTATCAACAGTAATTCCTCCACATTTTCTTTCAATTTCATATTTTTGTAATACCGAAAAAAAAATGGAAACTATATCTTTGCCGGTATGATTGCCATTCGCAGGCACAAAATCTAATACTACAGATTGCAGTTGCCAGTTATCATCAATAAAATGAGCAGTGATGCCGTAAAATGATTTATTGGCAATAGAAGTCCAACCATCAATTGTAAATGATATTCTGGAATCATTCTTGTTTAAAATCGTCTTTAAGTTTTTTTGTAATATTTCAAAGTTTTCTTCAACTATTGAACGTAAACAGTCACGTTTCGGCATTGCCACGTTGTCATTCAAGTTACGAAAAAATTCTTGCGTTACCTCATCATCAAAAAAATTGAATGGTAAATATTTAATGCATATCCATTCCGCAGCTAATTTTTGAATTTCAGCTTGAGTTAAATTTCTCTTCACCTTTAATCTGTTTATCTGAGAATCATAAAAAACAACAAACATTTAACTAAATTGTTTTAAAGGCATTAAGAATTTCTAAGACTCCTTCTACGAAAAATATATTTTGTACTATATCAATTAAATTTGTATAACAATTAATAAAAAGTAATTAACTTCATTACTTATTACTTTGAACTGAACGTAACTTGATAGAAAATTCATTTTTATATGTTTTTACAGAATTACAAATAGAAACAATTAAAGTTTAAATGACTTAATTCATAAAATAGATTCGGTACAAATTTAATAAATAATGAATTCAATTAATATTAATTATTAACTAATAATTCTTTGCTAGCTTTTGACTGAAGAACGTGATCTCTAAGTTGATGAGGTTGTAAGGTGGTGTACAACCTGCCTCCACTGATTTCTATCGGTGGCCATTCTTATTGCTGTATAGAGCTTAGAATTTCCATCCTCTTTTATTTGGTCGACCCATCTGCTGGGGGATCGACCTCGTGGCCTCTTGCCCTCTACACTGCCAGTGAAGACTAGTTTCTCGAGGTTTTCGTCACCTCGTCTGACAGATCGGAAGAGCACACG